GTATGCCATTTCTGTGTGAAATAGAGCTTTGGTGGAACCACAATCACAGTGTGGATTGCTTTCATTTAACTTCATTTTGCCCTATTTTGCCAGCAACCAAAGAAACATTTTTTGCTTATTTTGAAGAGGGTATGAGTGCCTCAGAAGCATTTCATCATCATGAAACCCTGTTGATGAAGGATCCAGTAACTCTCATGCTACTGGCTGATCGGAGAATGTGCCCTTCTCTGAGAGACGTTAACAATTTACATGACAAATAGCTGGTTGAAAAGAAGGGTCCATCCAATGGATCTGCAATGTCTGATCGCCTGGAAGAAATTGTTGATGACTACAACAAGGACAATGCAGATAAGGGAGGCAAGTGTTACTTGCAAAGGGTTAACGGAAATGGTCCAGATAAACAAGATCTCATCTTATCCATATGCACCCCTTTGATGTCACGTGTACATGAAACTAGGCAAGTTGGTGAAGATGGCCTTTATGGACTCATCAGGGAGCCTTGATCGATACAACAACCCTGTTTTCTTTATGTGAACTCATCATCCGTGTGGAGCATTACCTCTTGGAGTCTGGGTGACATCAAGCCAATCACAGCCATGTCTTGAAAACTGTCTGGAAAAATTGAAATTCATTCTGCCAAGTCATGCTTTCGATGGCAAAGGTCCCCAAAAAGGACCTGACTTTTTCATGACAGATGATGACACTGGCCAGAGACAAGCTCTTAGAGTCCACTGGCAACAGGCAACAGGCAACACTCCTGCTGTGCATTTTCCACTTTTTGCAAGCAACATGGAGATGGCTACTGGACTCCAAGCACTCCATTTTAAAGGATGACAGACAGCACCTGATGTCCATAATGCAGGACCTTGTGTTTGCCAAAACCCAACAAGAATTTGAAGAGATTGTGCAGCTTTTTCCATCAGACACTGTATTACAGAAATATTTCCTATACAAAGAATATTTAAACAAGGCCATAGATAGAAGGAAGGAATGGGCACTTTCTTACAGAGGAAATCTGAGAACACGGGGCAACAATACAGACAACTACACAGAATCTATGATCTTTGTTTTTAAATGTGTAGTTTTAAGAAGAATGAGAGCTTACAACCTTATTGAGTTATTTAAATTTATCACAGAAGACTTTGAAATGTACTTTCAAAGAAAACTTCTTTCCTTGGCTTTTGGTAAACCACAAAATCTACACATTGCATCACGTTGTTTTGGGGGATCGCTAGCTCTGTTAGTCAAAGCACAATAACCATAGATGAAAAAAATCCAAGCAAATTCCATGTGCCCAGCAGGGAGGACAACAACATCATATACACTGTTGACTGTACAATAGGAACCTGTACATGCCCACAGGGAACAAGTGGAAATGCCTGCCCCCACCAAGCAGCTGTGGCATTGAAATTTGGAATAAGCAACATAAACTTTGTTCCTCAAACAGCAAAGGAGAGATTCAACCTTGCTATTCTTGCTGTTGGGAATAACAACAATTTCAGTGTCACCCAGTTTGTAAGCCTTCACCAAAAAGAAATTGAAAGCAGACCTCACTTCTACAAAGACCAAGACAAGGATCATGATGAACAGCAAGTAATATTACCTTCAGTGCCTGCTGACTCACAAGAAAGTATTAGCACAGAAACCAATGACAACTGCATCAGTTCACAAACAGATGCCAATTTGCCAGATGCTGAGTAATATCAGTTGACTAAATAATTAAGCTTCACCAACAAGTCTCCCAAGATATTGAGTACAAGCTTAGAACAAGCGATACTAACTTCAGGCTCTGCTATTATAAATACCTGACTTTGTACAGGAGAATCATTTCAAAGTGTAGGGGACAAGCACCAGTTGTTTCACTTGCTACTGCCTATGCACAGTTTGGAAAAGATAGGGGTGGAAATTATTTGCCAGTCTTGCATAACAACTCCAGAATTAAAGTACAACCAACAGCTATTTCCAGAAGGAAGTCTGGCATAAAATCTACAAGTGCACAACCAAGTGGTCGTCACCCCATGTTATCAAACAGTAGCAAAGATGCCAACATGAAAGTTAGAAAAACATTCAACAGTCAAAAAAGAAAGAGAAATCTTGCACACAACATCAAGAAAAACTTACCTAATGCTGGTCCTAGAAGATAGAGCAATCTCTGAAAGAAGTTCTCAATCCACTGTGTTGAAGGAGGCAAAAAAACAGAGAAATGGCTTAGCATTAATACAGTCATGTGTAGAACTATTTTCCCTTGCAATTTATTTTTGATTATTGAAACAATAACAATAATATCCATATACGCAGATGAAGGACTCCATATAGGTTCATTGTAACTCGGCGACAATCATTATTCACAAGAGTGAAAAATCACTAGTGTCATGTTGGATTACTGATGTCAGATCTGTTTTGAGGTTAGACCATATCAGAGACCAGGGAGCATGTTTTTGGATTGGTTGTGTTAGCTTGTGTGAGTACAAGCCAAATTAGTGTTAGAGGTGCAAGCTCTTCCTCTCCCCCCCAGTGCCACTACTGGAAAGTTTTGACATTTTTGAGATTCTGACATCACCAAAAACATTTATTTCTAACAGTTCTGAGATTTTATCACATTGTTATCACCATTCGGTTAGTTTTCTGCACAAAAACGGTACATTTAACAGAATAAATTGTGTTTGCTTTATAACACAAATTATTATAAGTACTTTTGTAAATTTAATATTTAAAACAATCCTGGTGAACTTGTTGGTGAGGGCTCTACTCTCCACCCAGCCCCATAGCTCCCTGGTCCCTGAGTATTCAACATAGAACGTACTCTGGAAAAAGCTTAACTTTAGTAACAGATACAAAAAGTGTGTTTGGCGAGCCATTTTAACTCCTGTCATTGGCTAGATGAGTCCCAGAAGCACATTTCTAGGCCTAAGTAAAAATAGTAGTTGCATTTCCTAGGGTTAGGGTTAGGGTTATATATGCTGTGGTTCAATTTTATTCTTGGTTTCAATTTTATTCCCCTTAGTTTTGAGGTATGTTAATGTATGATAATGAGTTTTAAAACAAACGGACATAACATTTAAACCCAGGATGAAATTGAACCACAACATATGCATGCATACATACATACCTACATAATCTTTATTTAAACACGATAGTTTTTGGGGGGTGGGGGGGATAATAATGTGATGTAATTATATCTGTTCAATATGATAAAGTTAATGATGTTGTTGTTGTTATAGTTTTTAAAGCTCTTAAAGCTTGTGGGGTCGTGTATATCACCTCAAATTAAATTTGAACTCCCATCTATACAGATGCCGATAATTTTTCAACAGTGACTGAAAACAGCTTGTCTTAGTTTGTCGTAGAATTTAGAAGGTTATTATGGTATTTTAAGCTTATTTCATGCTTAAAAGGGGTTGGACAACGCACATTGTAAATTTATCAAGCAAAAAGAGAAGACTTACAACTTCAAATATTAAAACACTGACTGCGACTTACCTTTCGGTATTACATGTAAAAGTTTCCAGCTTTACTGCAATAAAACCTCGGCTGCCAGCTAAACTTGACCGAACATTGCATACAAATAGCTCAGAAAGGATTGGAAACTAAATGGGAAGGCTTGGTTACTATTCTAAGCTTAGGTTCCGAGCTCCCAAGGAAGTGATCCCCCAAAAAATTTTTGCTGGCTACATTCCAATACGGCTCGCATTTCTTTCGTAAAAGGGCAACCTTACAACAGCCAGCCACAAGCTTAGTCGCTGTCAACATGTCACACAACAATCATGATCCAACGGTAGGGGTGTGGTGTGCCACTGATGCCGTTCAGAAAGCTGACCCTGTTTTAGACAACCACCACCGTTCATTTCAATACCCTGTTTAGACAAGAGGGGCCATTATTTTTTTCATTTTATTTCATTTTGTATATAAAAGCTAACATGATAGAGTAAGATTGTGTTACAAAGATGTTGATGTAAATAGACCCGGCAATGCAAGCGAAACGAAACCATCGAAACCGTGATCAACCATTACTGAACCCCGGGGGAGAGGGGGGGGGGGGGGGATTTGAGAAAGTGGGCGTATTTTTTTTTTTTTTTTTTTTATTTTTTTTAAAAAAAATAAAAGAGAAGAAGAAAATGTTGTGTTAAAAAGTTGTTGAGTAAAAAACACCCGGCGATACAAACAAACAAAACCCACGAAAACGTGTAAAACCCATTGTGGACCCCCGGGGGGGGGGGGGGGGGGGGGGTATTTGGGTTAATGTTTGCTGGGTATGTGCAGCTGGAATCTCAGAGCCCCTACCCCATTATAATCTATTTTTGGTCAATTATAGACCCCATCATAGTCACTTTTTGGAAAATGTAATTTTCGCGATCCCAACTCAGTCACTTTCTATTTATGCATCTACCTTATCAATGTGGTTTCAAGCAGAGGAATGTACTGCGGTCAATGCGAGCTTATTGCTCAATTTAATAAACAACAACTTTCTGATTTGTTAACAGAGTATCTTCCCATTTTGAATGCCCTGCTTACCCCAAAACTCCGGAAATTTGCGACCCCATTCTAGTTAATTTATTGAAAATGCGACCCCATTGTAGTCACTCCAGTCGCGAAAATGCGACCCCATCCAGCGGCACATTCCTATTAGCCTCTTGTAAAGGAGTACCCCCCTGGGCACTGAACCAACTTGAACTAAATGAGCTTAAGGCACCTTTATGTAACTCACATTTTAATGTCGATGACCTAATTTAACTGTAATTTTTATTTTACGAAAGATAGGCAAGTGCTTTCTGCAAAATATTTTTGTCCTGACCAGTTACTTTAAATTTCTTGGTCTCCTTCCCCGCGAATATTGGCAGAGGGACCAACTTTGTCACTAATTTCTAATGAAGGGCAAAATGTTGGGTAATAGCCTGAGATTCGGGGAAGCGTATAAGGTATATAGGCAGTTTTCCAGAATCGTACTCGCCGTTATCTTTATAAACGTATGTCACGTTTGCAAGCCAGTGCCAGGCTTTCATGATTCTCTTTCAGTTTCGAATTTCTTCCGCAAGATTTCAAGGTCTTTTTCAAAGTTATCGCACAGAACCTTCAACAAGTTTGTTACTTCATCAGGTGTAAAATCCTGTGACCAGAGGTTGCAGTCTGGTAGATTGTCAAGATCGTTCATTCTGTTGCGCGCAATTTCCTCAAACATATCTCTTGCATTCTTTACAAGCTCCTCAGCTTCTTTTTTAGTAAACTGACTGTTAATGCCCGACGCAAGTTCGTGCATTCATAGTAATAAGTAAGAACCAAATCTTCTTCTGGTGCTATTTTATCAAGTAGAGCTTGAAGGTAGATGCCACTAAATATATCAGGATCCCAAACAAAATCCATATCAGAAATGTCCGCGAGAATTGGTTCATCTTCCAGACCTTTGACCATAGAAGGCCTTTGTTTCTTTTCCTTACCAACAGATTCTTCCAGAACTTCTTTAACTTTATCCCAAAACATCTTTCGCAGTGCAGTGTGCAAGAAGTCTGACGAGCCATCGTTAGTTAATAAGTGAAAGTCTGAACACAGTTCTCAAAACACAGGGGTGGATCCAGGATTTTTTTTAGGAGGGGGTGCACTCGTCTCTTGCTCTACTTCAACACCAACACCGGCACAGAACGAGGTCAACGAGCTTTTACCAGTAAATTCTTTATTATTGGTAGCTGTTAAATAAAAGTACGGCAGCTCCAGCTAGCAGTATTTCATCACAAAAAAAAAACATTTAAACTTTTTTTTTAGGAAGCGCCATCTGAACGTACTTAAAAATTTTCTTTTTCGAAAGAGACGTTATTCCCGCCAAAATTTGATTCCCGTCTGGTAAACGCTGATTGGCTAATAACATGACAGATCAAGCAGACGTTAGATTATGTAAATTAGCGGGCGGTTGACGGCTTGTTAAATGAATGTATCAGGCGTTATTTTTTTTTCCCTCTCGAGCCAAAGAAGCAAAGAAGAAAAAAAAATAATAATAACGCCTGATCTCAGGTTAAATACCTTCAACACCCTGAGACCAACACTTGGTCCACCATCAGAACCAAAATGGTCACCGAAAAGTGACTGCTCAAGACATGACTGGAACAACGTAAGCAGCAGTCATTTGGCTGGCAGGTTATTACCAATGGCGGAAATTTACCACGTTTTTCTTTTATTATGCTAAAATCCTCGGGAACTCCAGTTTTATGTTCTTTGAAAAACTTCGACGGTGAAAGTCTATACATTCTATATCCACTTTCACGACTTTACAAGCTCCAGATTCAAAATCTACTGCCATTGTTGAAGAATGAGAATTAATCTTCACTGCCAAAGACAGATCAATTTTGGTTTTCAAACCTTTGTAAATCTCCCCTCCATTCCACTCGAGCTCCAAAGTGTAAGCAGGCCCATGCCTGTTCAACATGTAGGATAATATTTTTAAACCGAACGCCTTGAACCCTTTGACTGAGAAACAAGAAACTGTTTCAACAAAAGGCGAATTCACTTCTCTTTTCCATTTAAAATTATGGAAACGGGTAGGATTGAATTTTCGAAATTTGTTAAAAGCAGCTTCGCTTGGTATGACTATTACCATACAATGTGCTAATCCCTCTTAAAGAATGTCTTTAGGTCGAGAGAAGTGATCCAACTGAACAAAATAGTCGAACTCGTCGGGTTTTCCGACTTTCGTTCCTTCGTAAAAGATTCCACTTTTAATAAGTGTTGTTTTGTAGAATGGAAGGTCTTTCTCTACTTTCTTAAGAAGAGTTTTAAGAAACCTTTCATAGCTTGCCTTTTCCTTCATCTAGGTCTCGTATGAAGAGATCTAAAGGCGACAGGGACTCGGTAGCTGGTGCGGTGCTTTCATTGGGAAGCTCCGATTCGATTGGCCCATTCTCTATCGACCGACTCACTTAAAGCCTTTGAAAATCATCTTGCAGAGCAGTCACACTCATCTGATCTGATATACGTTACGCCTCGGGTTCAGGGCGGGTCGACTCTTGGTAAAGAAGCTTCCACTGTTCTGACTGCTATGTAAAAAGTGATATTTTCAGTGAAGAAAGAAAGAAAGGAAGGTCTTTCTCTTCTTCCCAACTAAAGAAGAGTCACTGGTTTGTACTGATGTCAGGTGCATGGCTTCTTAACGACAAGGCATTGCCTTTACGTTGATCCAGATCTCGTTTGAAGCGCGGACTATCAGAAGTGAACAAGGACTCGATAGCTGTTTAATATTATCAGAAGCGTTCCGGAGTGTTTGACGCATACTCCCTTTTCTATCGGTTCGGCGACTTGCATTCAGTTTTCTTAATTCATGTTCTTCTTTACCACCACCATTAAGGGAAACCAAATGCCTTTTATTCAATCAAGTCTGTCGTCACATTATGTAATATTCTGATTGGACCTTCCTAGATCGCGAGTTTTGAGCCGGTTGATAGCGTGACGTGTCGTTGCCACTAGAGTTGCAGTTGATTAATACATAAAGACGTACTTATGAAATACAATGATTATTAAGCCCGACAATTTTATTATATAAAAAAATAATTATACTCTTAATTCGGCTAAAACTTTTCCGGAAGCACTTTGTCATCGGCCCAGTTGCTGATTTCAAAAACGTTGACAGTCGCTAAACATTTCACTGATTTTTGGATTGAGGCGACAAATACTTCTGACATTTGCATTTCATTTATTTAAGGCCTCTGAAGCAAATCTAGCGGATCAATTTCGTAAATACACCATTTTCGATGTATTAAAATTCATACTTGGCTCCGAGGCTCCGAGGAATAAAACAAAAGAAATGTATTATTCATTATTGAGCCCCAAGATGGTTTCTCTTGTTTTAAGGTGATGTTACACGGGACGATTCGCAACGACTATTTTTAGCGCAACACAGCGTTGCAATGTTGGAACAATGTTGTAACCATTCGAAACAATGTCGCAACTATGTTGCAACGCTGTGTTGCGCCAAAAATCGTCGTTGCCAATCGTCCCGTGTAATGTTACCTTTATTCCCCCAAGCCTCGCAGCCAAGTATGAATTTTAATATACATGTATCGAAATTGGCCTAATAGACTCCCTCTATGCATAATTAAATGTAAGTATTCTAATTTATTCTCTATAACCATTGGTAGCATAAGTGTAATAAAAGAGTTTGTAAAGAACATAAATTGCACAACAATAAATGAACTCAAACGGGCCGGTAAACTGGTAAAAGTCATCAATGTATTTATACACATTGTTCCTTCCATGCTAGCACTTTGGCCTCTTTTACATGGTATTCGGCGGACGAGAGGAAAACAGACCTCGCCATGGGCACTGTCGTCCCCAGAGCCGGTCGTTTCTTTTGGTCACGTGGTCTTATAAGCACTCGTCCGTTACAAATAGGCCCATTCGGCTAACTCAATGTTGCACCCAATTCAAACCCTTCGGGAATAAAACGTTTGTTTCAGGAACTTCCATATCATTTAAATGTGAATGCTACATTATAATGCAAATACAATACACAAAGAATCTTAACCCCGAAAGATCTGAATTGGGTACAACATTGAGTTAGCCGAATAGGTCTATTACTTGGCTCTAGTGACGAGAATATGCCACGGAACCATGGTTGGAAACGGATTTTTGTTGAGCATGCACCACGATTGCATGGAGTCCGCACCATCACGCAATTATTTTAGCACATGATCAAGTGACACACGTCCTGCTATCGCAGTTTATCGTCGTCACGCTATGGAGTTTCACCACCATTTAAACAGCAAAATTAGTGTATAAGACCACTGGCCTGACAGTGTAATTACGCTAAATTGTTGTTGTAAGTTTTACTTCTCACGCAAACTCTTNCTTCCATATCATTTAAATGTGAATGCTACATTATAATGCAAATACAATACACAAAGAATCTTAACCCCGAAAGATCTGAATTGGGTACAACATTGAGTTAGCCGAATAGGTCTATTACTTGGCTCTAGTGACGAGAATATGCCACGGAACCATGGTTGGAAACGGATTTTTGTTGAGCATGCACCACGATTGCATGGAGTCCGCACCATCACGCAATTATTTTAGCACATGATCAAGTGACACACGTCCTGCTATCGCAGTTTATCGTCGTCACGCTATGGAGTTTCACCACCATTTAAACAGCAAAATTAGTGTATAAGACCACTGGCCTGACAGTGTAATTACGCTAAATTGTTGTTGTAAGTTTTACTTCTCACGCAAACTCTTATGTGATTACGCTTAAGACTGCACGCGAGCGGGTAATGTGGAACAATCCTGTGCTCCGATAGTCTGCTACACAGCCGTTTTTAGTGTCGTCACGCAACGCTCCTCCCCACAAACGGCTGTTGAAAACCGAACTACATTCCTTTCCCGTGATTAGCCAATTACAATTCAGCTGCCATTTTCTGGAAGGTGTTCGCGCCACGTTTGCGGTACTGTGATTCCTCCAATCACAGCTTTGCTTTTATCGGTGCCCTATGTGTGAATGACAGAATAATCAAAATCGTCGCGTGAAAACAAGCAATTAACTAGAGTAGTGTTGTCGTTGTCGAGTCCTATTCAAAATTTAGGAGATAAGCAGCAGCAGCAAGCAAGTCGAGCAAATTGCGATGCACAACATGGATGTGATCATAAAGTTGCCAGGTATAGTTTCGGGTAATCGCTCATCGATAATTTATAAGATTGCTTTTTGAATCAATACCCTTGAGAGTTTAGTCTTCACAGAAGACAATGAGCACATCCGGCACATTAAATTCTTTATTACATATCAGCACATATGCACGTTAAATGAAGAACCAACCGATCCTGGTAAAAGTCTTCTAGGCCTATCAAACCTTTTTTTCACTTGGAACTTTCTTGATAGCTTAAAACAAACTTTTTTGCAAATTAACCTTTTCGTTGCTTGAAAACACAGAGCCCGTCTAAATTCAGCGACGATTGATTGATTTGTCGAAAACTGAGAAGCGTGCTCGCTTCCTAGCGCCCCGCAGCTCACGTATTGTCAAATCTCTTATACATGATTGGCTTGTTCGTTAGACCACAAACACAAAGGGAAAGGAATGTAGTTCGGTTTTCAGCAGCCGTTTGTGGGGAGGAGCGTTGCGCGACGACACTAAAAATGGCTGTGTAGCAGACTAGTGCTCCGATTGGTTCTAACTGAGCAGACAAGATGGGCTTATCTTACCCGCTCAGGATTCTCGATTTGTCCCACGGGAAAAGAATTATTTATCCATATGATAAATCCTTTACTGACCAAACTTGTTAGGTCAATATCAGCTGAATGTAGGCATCGTTCCTCCATCCGCCATGTATTCGCCTCCCCCCCCCCCCCTCCCCCCCACAAAAAAAGGCCCTAGTTTTTTCCGCCGTTTTGGTTAATGGTGAAAAGGCAGGGGCTGGCCATTTTTCTCTTCCCCCTTTTCTTGCTAATCTTTTGTTTCACCTTTTGTCTCCTTTCTTGCGTTTGTACATCNATGTACTCCCTTGACTTTTAGTTTTGTTGTTTAAGTCCCGTTGTGGTTTCATGAACGCCTCGAATTCTTCATAAAGGACATCATGATCGATTGTAGATTTCAGACTAGTACTCTTAACACTTTCAGAGTTTGATATTGATTTGTTTGGAAGATCTTGAGATCTGCTTCCGTTTTCGACGACATCCAAAAGCTTGGTGATGTGGCTGCATTTGCTTTGAAGGCAATCCCTCTTCAATTCATCCATCAAAGTAAGTACATGAAAGTTCTGGGGAACCCACCTACCCCTTCCCTAGGCTAACGTTTATCACTATCTTCTCACTAAGCAGGCCTTTTTAGCGCAAAGTGTTTTCAGTGTTTATGGGAGGGGAGGCTGCGGCTTCCCCAGAATTATAAAGTGATCCAAAATCTTCGTATTTCTTTTAACATAAATGTATCTCAATTTTACTCGCCAATGCCAGTCTTGCTTGATTCTTTTAAAGCTTTGATTTTATTCCGCATGAGTTCAATGTCTTTTTCAAAGTTCTCGTGAAGCAACTTTAGCAAGCTTGCTACCTCATCACACTTGAAGTCCCGTGACCAGAGGCTATAGTCTAGTATATTGCCAAGATCGTTCATTGTTTTACGTGCATTTTTCTCAAAGATTTCTCTTGCATTCTTAACAATCTCCTCAGCTTCTTCCTTAGTAAAACTATCAGTACCTGATACAGATATGCTGTCGTCCTTGTCTTTGAAGTAGGAACCAAGAATGTGAAAATCCTCCACTGGAGCTAACTTTTCAAGAAGAGCTTGAATGTAAATACTACAGAAAACGGACGACGCAGACATAAAGTCTGTATCAATAATTTCATCCCAGTCATGATTCATCAGGGTCATCCAATAAGGACCTTTTGGAATAGGGGGACTTTCTTCCGGCTTTTGTGTCTTACCAACGGATTCTTTCAGAACCTTTGTAATCTTATCACCGAAAATATCTCGCAGCGCACTGTGCAAGAATCTTGTCAACTTCGTCTTACGGCGAGCCAACGTCAGCAAATTTGTAAGAGTTTGAACAAAATCCTCAAACGAACAATTTTGGCTGGCAGTTTGCAAGGATGACAAACATTTAAGAATGATGGTCACTCTGTTGATGGCTGCTGGCAGATACCCCATTTTTTTTATTTTGTCACGATTTGGAAGAACATTGTAGTCTTTGTACCAAAAGCTTCTTATCCCTTTATTTTGCTCTAAGGTGCGTAGAAGAACAGTAACTATGTTCACAATACGCTGACTGAGGTTGTTCCCAGTCCACTGCTTTTCTTCTGGGTTTTTCGTCCATTCAAACAAAACAAGAGTTTTGAGGGTGTATGAGGAAATAAATGTGGTACTCTCTGGTTCTGTAGCACTACACAAAGAGTGCATTTTTCTGTGCCAGTCAGAATTAATTTCTTTGCCTGTATTGACAAATTCCCATACTTTCTCTTCAATAGATTTTCCTGAACCCAAGGTGTATTGGCAGAAGCAATGCTCATACTGATCAAATGAACGAGTCATGTCACGCAATACCTTGAGCACCCTGAGACATACACTTGGTCCACCATTAGGACCAAAATGGTCACGGAACAGTGACTGTTCAAGACATGACTGCGAACAACGTAAAAGGCAATGAGATTCTCTCAGGCTGATTTTTGGTTCAGATATTGGAAATCCCACGACTCTTTCTTTCTGCTCTTCCTTAAATTTCTTGAACAAGTGTGATGATGATGAAACTGGGTATTCCTTGTATCCGCTCACTGCGAAGTAGTATGGTAAAGTACCTAACAAAGACGACACAACGCTTCCTGCTTGAGATTCAAAGTCTACTTTCATGGTTGAAGAATGAGTGTTAATCTTCACTGCTAGAACCAAATCAACGGCGATAATTAATCCTTTGTATTGCTTCCCTCCAATCCATTTGAGGTATAAAGTGTAAGCAGGCCCATGTCTCTGAAGACTTCCCATTTCATCCGAAAGGACTTTCAGACCGAACGCTTTAAACCCCTTGACTAACTTGCTGTCCAATGCTTCGACAAACGGCGACTTAATATTTACTTTCCAGTCAAAAGAATAAAGGCTACGATTCACCTTTGGAAGCTTTTCGAAAGCTGATTCGCTTGGAATAACTGCCACCATACCATGTTTCAACTCCTCAAAGCGAATGTCTTGAGACAAGTTATCCATCTGAACAAAATAGTCGAACTCGTCAGGTTTTCCGACTTTCGTTCCCTCGTAAAAGCTTCCACTGTTTATAAGTTTTGTTTTGAAGAAAGGAAAGTCTTTCTCTATGTCCAAAAGAAGAGCTTTAAGAAAATTTTCAACACTGGCCTGAATGTCAGTGATTTCTTGAACATATTCTTGACAGCAAGGTAGCTTTCCTTTTCTTTAATCCAGGTCTCGTATGAAGTGATCTAACGGCGACATGGACTCGGCAGCCGGTGTATTTTCAACAGAAGATTCTGGTGATTTTGATCTATCCTTGCTTTGGCTCGGCGGACTGAGATCAAGTTTTTTCAATTCATGTTGTAAACTTTGCATGTTGCTACCATCACTACTCTAACCAAAGCTTTTGACGTCTGCTTTGGTCTATCCGAAGGGAAAGGGTTTTTACCTGCGATTACACTGAATCATCACTATTCTGATACCTTCGCTTTCATTTTTTTGTTTTTGTTCAATCAAGCCCGTCGTCAGAATGCGCATAGCCTGCACAACAAGGGCTTTATCAGCCAAGCGCGGCGAATGCGACATTTTGTACGAAGCGAGAAATACCGCGAGAAATACCGTTCGGGCATGCGTAGAAAGCAAAAATTGGGTTTGACACAGCAGTCTTGACTTCTACTTTTTGCTTTCTCTCCTCCCCGCTTTTTTGCTTTTCTTCCCTCATTTTCTTCCTTTGCTTGGCATTTAATAGGCTTCATTTTGGTGGGAAAGGTTTTAGGAAAGCTTTTAGGAACTCAGGATTAGATGAAAGGAAAGGTAGGTGGGTAGTAGAACAAGATTTTCATGGTAATTTTCAGCTCAATGTTACACGGTTTTTGCCTTTTTCTCCGGTGTCCTTGACTGAATTGTTCTCATTCTGGTATGGTTTGAAAGATCACTTCACTCCACACAAGTAAGCGGATAAACTTATCCTTGGCCACTCAAACTGATGACGTCACAAGTGGTACAAAGGACTTGGATCCGCACGGACGGTTTAGGGCGGCTCAGGGGCGAATTGGTTAAAATACAACTACAATGTAGTTAATGAAGTTTTATGGTTGTGAAGGCCGACAAATTTCTTTCTCAGTCAGTATATGTTGGCTACTGTTAAACTCCGCCAAACAGAGCTTCGGAAACATCTTTTCATTTGCAGCTCATTGCTGACTTCATAAACCATGATAAACGTACTTCAGAAATGTCAGGGAAACTACAGACCCATAACTGTACAAGTTACTGTAAACAAACTCTTTGAACAATTACTCAGCAAGCAACTCAGTTATGGTTTTAATAACAAACTGTGCGACAAACTAACCCCCCCCCCCCCTTCACCCCCAGAAAAAAGTGCCTTAGTTTTTTCAGCGTTTTGCGTTAGTGATGAAAGTGTAGGGCTTGGCAATTTTCCTTATCCGACTTTTCTAGCTAGTCGTTGATTTCAGCTTTGATCACCTGTATGCGATTTTCAAATGCTAGAAATTTCTCTCTGGTGATTCAACATTTTTGTTCAAGATCTTCCCCTTAATAATGTACTCCCTTGACTTTTAGTTTTGTTGTTTAAGTCCCGTTGTGGTTTCATGAACGCCTCGAATTCTTCATAAAGGACATCATGATCGATTGTAGATTTCAGACTAGTACTCTTAACACTTTCAGAGTTTGATATTGATTTGTTTGGAAGATCTTGAGATCTGCTTCCGTTTTCGACGACATCCAAAAGCTTGGTGATGTGGCTGCATTTGCTTTGAAGGCAATCCCTCTTCAATTCATCCATCAAAGTAAGTACATGAAAGTTCTGGGGAACCCACCTACCCCTTCCCTAGGCTAACGTTTATCACTATCTTCTCACTAAGCAGGCCTTTTTAGCGCAAAGTGTTTTCAGTGTTTATGGGAGGGGAGGCTGCGGCTTCCCCAGAATTATAAAGTGATCCAAAATCTTCGTATTTCTTTTAACATAAATGTATCTCAATTTTACTCGCCAATGCCAGTCTTGCTTGATTCTTTTAAAGCTTTGATTTTATTCCGCATGAGTTCAATGTCTTTTTCAAAGTTCTCGTGAAGCAACTTTAGCAAGCTTGCTACCTCATCACACTTGAAGTCCCGTGACCAGAGGCTATAGTCTAGTATATTGCCAAGATCGTTCATTGTTTTACGTGCATTTTTCTCAAAGATTTCTCTTGCATTCTTAACAATCTCCTCAGCTTCTTCCTTAGTAAAACTATCAGTACCTGATACAGATATGCTGTCGTCCTTGTCTTTGAAGTAGGAACCAAGAATGTGAAAATCCTCCACTGGAGCTAACTTTTCAAGAAGAGCTTGAATGTAAATACTACAGAAAACGGACGACGCAGACATAAAGTCTGTATCAATAATTTCATCCCAGTCATGATTCATCAGGGTCATCCAATAAGGACCTTTTGGAATAGGGGGACTTTCTTCCGGCTTTTGTGTCTTACCAACGGATTCTTTCAGAACCTTTGTAATCTTATCACCGAAAATATCTCGCAGCGCACTGTGCAAGAATCTTGTCAACTTCGTCTTACGGCGAGCCAACGTCAGCAAATTTGTAAGAGTTTGAACAAAATCCTCAAACGAACAATTTTGGCTGGCAGTTTGCAAGGATGACAAACATTTAAGAATGATGGTCACTCTGTTGATGGCTGCTGGCAGATACCCCATTTTTTTTATTTTGTCACGATTTGGAAGAACATTGTAGTCTTTGTACCAAAAGCTTCTTATCCCTTTATTTTGCTCTAAGGTGCGTAGAAGAACAGTAACTATGTTCACAATACGCTGACTGAGGTTGTTCCCAGTCCACTGCTTTTCTTCTGGGTTTTTCGTCCATTCAAACAAAACAAGAGTTTTGAGGGTGTATGAGGAAATAAATGTGGTACTCTCTGGTTCTGTAGCACTACACAAAGAGTGCATTTTTCTGTGCCAGTCAGAATTAATTTCTTTGCCTGTATTGACAAATTCCCATACTTTCTCTTCAATAGATTTTCCTGAACCCAAGGTGTATTGGCAGAAGCAATGCTCATACTGATCAAATGAACGAGTCATGTCACGCAATACCTTGAGCACCCTGAGACATACACTTGGTCCACCATTAGGACCAAAATGGTCACGGAACAGTGACTGTTCAAGACATGACTGCGAACAACGTAAAAGGCAATGAGATTCTCTCAGGCTGATTTTTGGTTCAGATATTGGAAATCCCACGACTCTTTCTTTCTGCTCTTCCTTAAATTTCTTGAACAAGTGTGATGATGATGAAACTGGGTATTCCTTGTATCCGCTCACTGCGAAGTAGTATGGTAAAGTACCTAACAAAGACGACACAACGCTTCCTGCTTGAGATTCAAAGTCTACTTTCA